TTGCTAATAGTTTCTCTGACATTTAATACTATATTATTTATAACCAACAGAAAGCCAAAGTTTTAATCTATAAAATGATGTATTATAATGTGTTGTTTTCTCTACAGAGAAATGTCTATTTTGCTTCCAGTTCAGACTTTATTCCCATGGAAAACACATTGATGATCTTAGCTGAATTTTTAACAGTTCTTATCATATAGTTAGAAAGCCAGAAAAATTATGATAGTTATAGTATATTTTATGTGTTGTTATTCTATGTTCGTAGGTGCATTATTTAGTTGAATAAAAAATTATTTATTGCAGTATTACCATTAGTATAATAAAAGTAGGATTACATTTTACTGATATTTAACAGCAGAAAAAAAAAAGACCCAAGTAAGTACTATATTTCTTGTTTTTCTTGTGTATACTTTATTTATTATAATAAAAATTTGAAATGATAAAAATAAAAATGTTCACGAGGTACACTTGCGAGTAACCTGTGCGTTAAGTAATTCAATAGGGTAATGTGAGCTACATGTTCGCCAAGTGATTTCCAAGCTGCGTAGTTCTGTTATTAGTTTTATAAAATGTAAGTAGGAACAAGTGTATACTGTTACGAGTTTGAAACTATTTAGGATAAACAAATGTTGTTTCATGTTACAATTTGAAATCATTCTAGAAAGAAAAAAAGGCTAATTTAGAGTTATTTCATATTTGTTTATGGTGGTTACAAGATTAGTCAAATTAATAAATGTTATCCATTTTTTCTTTTAGTAAGGCATATATTAGATTTGGTATTAAGCTAAGTTAGTATTTGACTTAACTGATATTATTTCTATAGTTGTTTCTTTTTCTGACCTCTAATTGGTGATATCTTTAACCTTATCGCCCTGGCTATCCTATTCTGCCCCTGTCATGAAGTTTTAGTGACTTGCATTCAAAATTTAATTAAACCACTTTTTGTTTATGTTATACCAATTAGTATAGCATAAAATCATAGCTAATAATCCATATTTTAATAGTATACAAGTTTTAAATTCTTAGTTTTATAAGGCAATATTTTAAAAAAATTCAGAATTTTTGCCTTGTGTGAAAAAATATGACAAAATTTCTCTAGGCATCCCCTCTTCTCTCTATTATTCACCACCCATCCAATAAGTATGAAATTTAACATAAATTCTTCACTATAAATTTGTCATTGCTCAGACAAACTAATTTTTATAACCTTCAATCTTGTTTTGTTACTGAGCCATCAAATAGAAAATTGAACCCCTCTTTCCACACCCACCCATCACATCCCCTCTTTTAGGATTTGTTAATAGTTCTCTCTTAAGCTTAATACTATATTATGTATAACCAATAGGAAGCCAAGGTTTTCATCTATCAAATGACGTATTATATTTTATTTTCTGAATAGAGAATTGTCATTTTCTCAGTTAGTACAAGCTTCGTTCCCATGGGAAAGATAATGACTAGCTTGGATGAATTTGTAATGGTTAGAAA